TGAGCAGGGAGCCCGATGCGGGACTCGATCCCAGGACTCCAGGATCATGACCTGAGCCGAAGGCAGTTGCTTAACCAACTGAGCCACCCAGGCGCCCAAGCATGATTCTTATAGAAGCATATAAATAGGTATTTAGCAGATCATTTTTTAAAGTACAGAAGTACATGAGTTTCATTTGAAATTCAATATGTATAAATTTATATAAATTTTGACAGTAACACCATATTTAAATGTATTCCTTTGGGTGGGTATAAAGAAGGAGGTACTTATCTTTGATATATAGATTGTGATAAATGAATTGTAATTTTTTTTTTGAAAAATTGTTGGTTATAATATGTTTTAACTAAATTTATTTTTATTTGAATATTGCAGTGTCTAAAAATGACTACAAAACGAAGTTTGTTTGTGCGGTTGGTACCATGTCGTTGTCTACGAGGGGAAGAAGAGACTGTCACTACTCTTGATTATTCTCATTGCAGTTTGGAACAGGTTCCCAAAGAGATTTTTACTTTTGAGAAAACTTTGGAGGAGCTCTATTTAGATGCTAATCAGATTGAAGAGCTTCCAAAGGTATGTTCATACTTTCTTTTAAGAATTGTCTTTGGATATTTTTATGCAAGAAATATGATATATCCCCAGTATTGCCATAATGCTGCCAGTATATTTGTGTTTCCATTGTTTCCTTTTTTTTTTTTTTGGTTTAATTTTATCTTGGGGTATGCAACAGAATTTTAAAAACTTTTTTTTAAAAGATTTATATATTTACTTGAGAGAAAGAGAGCGCATGAACAGGAAGAAGGGCAGAGGGAGAGGGAGAAAGAATCTCAAGTTCTCTGTGCTGAGCGTGGAGCCCTATACAGGGCTCGATCTCACGACCTGAGATCCTAACCTGAGCCAAAACCAAGAGTCAGACGCTTAACCAACTGCACTACCAGACACCCCCAATATTTTTTAAAATAGAATTTTAACCTTTGTTTCTTCAAGTTAATTGCTTGAGTATTTGAGCAAGTAAGTTAAAATTTTGTATTTAATTTCCATTTTTTATAGCCCCTATGGTAGATAGAACTACATTATTTCTATAGCCAATAGATTTAGCTAGACAAAAATTGAAATTAATGTTTTCTTTTTCTAGTTATCATAAGACATTGGTTTACATGGGGCACCTGGGTGGCTCAGTCGTTCAGGGTCTGCCTTCGGCTCAGGTCATGATCCCAGGGTCCTGGGATCAAGCCCCGCCCTGCATCAGGCTCCCCGCTCTGTGGGAGGCCTCCTTTTCCCTCTCCCGCTCCCCCTGCTTGTATTCCCTCTCTGGTTGTCTCTCTCTCTGTCAAATAAATAAAAATAAAATTTCTAAAAAACAAAAAAACATTGGTTTACGTTATTCTAATTGAGAATAAATTGTCCTTTTGGTTGTCACCTAATACTTTTGTTATTAAGCAGGTTTTTAGAGGTAGTATCCTGTTTGCCCTATTTCAGTTTGTTTAGAAAGGTTTTGGAGGACGTAACATTTCTGAAATCTAAGAACAACTAGAGGGAGGAAAGTTGTTTTGTTGCCATGAAATATCCTCTTACATTATCAGTTTCTTTGCTAAAATTTTTCAGTGACTACTTTTTCTTTTTCTTAAAAATCCCTCTTGGGGCGCCTGGGTGGCTCAGTCGTTAAGCGTCTGCCTTCGGCTCAGGTCATGATCCCAGGGTCCTGGGATCGAGCCCCGCATCGGG